TGCGGAGAGATGACCGCGCAGTACAGCACGGAGACGAAGCCCGTGCCCCCTGCAGGTGCGCATCGGCGGCGAGTGCAACCCCGCGGCGAAGAATCCTCAACGACCCGCATCTGGTGGGCGCGCACGGCACGCAACTTCGACTTCAACGGCCGCCCCGACAAGGCCTTCTGCCTGCTCACCGACCGCGACCTCCACGTGAACATGCTCTCCGCGTTACTACGACGAGAGGACCGACAACGCGGCGCTGGTCGTCGACGGCAAGGCAGTGCACACGTGGATCAAGGAGCTCGGCATCGTGTGGACTGCCGGCGGCGTGGACCACAAGATTCGGCTGGCGCGCGCGGCGGCAAGCAGCAGAGCGCGGCGAGGGATTCATGAAGAGCATCGAGATCGACGGCGAGGAGATCCCTCGCATGCAGGTCGCGACAGCGTTACCGGCGCCCGGGGCTCAAGGTCGAATTCCGCGGGCTCGAGAAGGAGGGACCGTTCGATGTCGATTACTACCTGCTCACGATCGACGGCCTGGTTTCGCTCGACCTCCGCCTGCGCGTGGCTCACCCCAAGCTGCAAACCCGACCGACGCCGAGGCGCACATCAATGTGGAATTGCCGGAGCTGGAGCACACGGAGGAGATCACGGCGTGCTCGGACAGACGTATCGCGCGGATCACCGCAGCGCGCCGCGGACTTCCAGGCCTGATCGCGAGCCTGCACCGTCCGATCTCCGCCGAGGCGCGGAGGGCAAGGGCTTCCTTGATGGCACACCCAGGTCGTACGAGGCGAGCGACGTGCTCGCTGTGGATTGCGCTTATACCGCGTACGGCCGCGCCAGACAAGTCATGCCCGTGCACCGTAAGTGCTGGTTCGGTGCTGCATGTACTGTACAGTGGCTGAATGTATACATAGGTAGCATACATCCATAGGACTAATACTATGGGCTGATTCTCCTAATGTATTGGATTTATTTCTGCCAAACCACTCTTCATACGGTTTTGATCTTAATACTAAGCAGCAAGTGGTGCTGTAGCAGAGAGATGGGCGCGGTTGGAATACAGCCACAGAAGCAGCTTGAAATGGAGATACAGGCACGAGTACCAACAGGTTGCTGTGCTTCAACGAAGCCTGCATAGCGTGACAGCAGAACCTTCTCCCACTCGCTTGCCTGCAGAATCAGCTGCTGCTAGCGAACATGCAACAGGGGCGGTAGCGGCTGGGTTGGTGGTGCGTGCGGTGAGGGGGGGGGGGGGATGGGGCAGGTTGACTTGGAAGGAATGGCTGATACTGGCCTGCCAGCGCCAACGGGGGATATACAGAGCAGGGAACGCTGGAGTAAGGAACGTGTGGAGGGGGAGTGGTGGAAGGGGCGATGGCAGGAGGTGGCGCTTGGTCCAAGCGCCTGCTCTTGTGTTGCTTGCGCCTCTGCTGCTTCTGCCTGCGTGTGCGGTGCGGAGGCTTACACCGCGTGTTGCAACTTGCAGCCCGTGAGCCTCCTGCTGCGTTCCATTCCAAGCAGGGGCAATGGGGTGAGCAGAACCATGAGCAAGAAGCCGTCCCTCTGCCCGCGAGCTCCAGCTGCATTCCTCCAGTTTTTGCCGCTGTCATCCCAGTAATGGTCACTGGCGTCGTTGTCATTGCTAATGCCTTACCCTCAACATTGCTTACAATCTGAATTTACTCCTCCATTCATCCACCCCGCCCCCATCATTTCACGCCCATAACTTCTCATCTTCTCACCTCCATTCGTCTCACCTTCTCTCCCCCATTTCTGCTACTTTTGCTCATCTTTTGACAGTCTGGGTCGGCCATTCTGTCACTTGTGTCCTCCCTGCTTCATGTTGTGCTCTTGCCATTTATTCCAACTCGTTCAAGTGCTCCTCGTTTCCCCCTCTTTCTGCCTCCCATCCCCTCCACTGCTTTGACACCATGCATCTCACTGTCAGCTACAATGATCCCAACAACTTCCTCTCACACTTGTCTGAATCACCATCACCCACTCTGATGCCTGAATCACCATGACCCACTCTCATGCCTGAATCATGTTGCCCTGCGTGTGGTTTGTGCCTGCCTGCCAAGTCAGCTTCCCAAGGCTTATTCCCAAGTCAGATTCCCAAGTCAAATCCCCAGGTCAGATTCCCAAGTCATAATCTCGAGTCAGATCCCCAGGTCAGATTCCCAGGTCAGATTCCCTCCCAGGTCAGATTCCAAGTCAGATTCCAGACAGATTCCCAAGTCATATTCCCCAGTCAGATTCTCAAGTCGGATCCCCAGGTCAGATTCCCAGGTCACATTCGCAGGTCAGATTCCCAGGTCAGATTCCCAGGTCAGATTCCAAGTCAGATACCAGACAGATTCCCAAGTCATATTCCCAAGTCAGATTCCCAAGTCAGATCTCCAGGTTAGATTCCCGAGTCATAATCTCGAGCCAGATCCCCAGGTCAGATTCCCAGGTCAGATTCCCATGTCAGATTCCCAGGTCAGATTCCCAGGTCAGATTCCCAGGTCAGATTCGAAGTCACATTCCAGTCTGATTCCCAAGTCCTATTCCGTCAGATCCCCAAGTCATAATCTCGAGGCAGATCACCAGGTCAGATTCCCAGGTCAGATTCCCATGTCATTTTTGCAGGTCAGATTCCCAGGTAAGATGCCCGGGTCAGATTCCCAGGTCAGATTCCGAGTCAGATTCCAGTCAGATTCCCAAGTCATATCCCCAGGTTAGATTCCCAAGTCATAATCTCGAGTCAGATCACCAGGTCAGATTCCCAGGTCAGATTCCCATGTCAGATTCCCAGGTCAGATTCCCAGGTCAGATTCCCACGTCAGATTCCAAGTCAGATTCCCAAGTCAGATTCCCAAGTCTTATTCCCAAGTCTTATTCCCAAGTCTTATTCCCAAGTCATAATCTCGAGTCAGATCTCCAGGGCAGATTCCCATGTCACATTCCCATGTCACATTTGCAGGTCAGATTCCCAGGTCAGATGCCCGGGTCAGATTCCCAGGTCAGATTCCACTCAGATTCCCAAGTCCTATTCCCAGGTCAGATTCCCAAGTCAGATTCCCAGGTCATATTCCCAGGTCAAATTCCCAGGTCAGATTCCAAGTCCGATTCCCAAGCCCAATTCCCAAGTCAGATCCCCAAGTCAGATTCGCAAGTCAGATCCCCAGGTCAGATTCCCATGTCACATTCCCATGTCACATTCCCAGGTCAGAGTCCCAGGTCAGATTCCCAGGTCAGATTCCCACATCAGATTCCAAGTCAAATTCCAGTCAGATTCCAAGTCAGATTCCAGTCAGATTCCCAAGTCGTTCCCAAGTCAGATTCCCAAGTCATATCCCCAGATTAGATTCCCAAGTCATAATCTCGAGTCACATCCCCAGGTCAGATTCCCAGGTCAGATTCCGAGGTCACATTTTCAAGTCAGATTCCCAGGTCAGATTCCCAGGTCACATTCCCAGGTCAGACTCCCAGGTCAGATTCCCAGGTCAGATTCTCAGGTCAGATTCCCAGGTTGGATTCCGAGTCAGTTTCCCAAGTCAGATCCCCATGTCCCATTCCCATGTCAGATTCCCAGGTCAGATTCCCAAGTCAGATTCCCAGGTGAGATTCCAGATCAGATTCCCAGGTCAGATTCCCAGGTCGGATTCCGAGTCAGTTTCCCAAGTCTGATCCCTTGGTCCGATTCTCATGTCAGATTCCCAGCTCAGATTCCCATGACAGATTCCCAGGTCAGATTCCCAGGTCAGATTCCCAGGTCAGATTCCCAGGTCAGATTCCAAGTCAGATTCCCGGGTCAGATTCCCAGGTCAGATTCCCAGGTCAGATTCCTGGGTCAGATTCCTGGGTCAGATTCCCAGGTCAGATTCCCAGGTCGGATTCCTTGTCAGCTTCCCTAGGTCAGATTCCCAGGTCAGATTCCCAGGTCAGATTCCCAGGTCACATTCCCAGGTCCGATTTCGAGTCAGATTTGCAAGTCAGATCCCCAGGTCCGCTTCCCATGTCAGATTCCCAGGTCAGATTGCTAGGTCAGATTCCCAGGTCACTTTCCCAGGTCACATTCCCAGGTCAGACTCCCAGGTGAGATTCCCAGGTAAGATTCCCAGGTCAGATTCACAGGTCGGATTCCAAGTCAGTTTCCCAAGTCTGATCCCCTGGTCCGATTCTCATGTCAGATTCCCAGCTCAGATTCCCATGTCATATTCCTAGTCAGATTCCCAAGTCAGATTCCCAAGTCAGATTCCCAGGTCACTTTACAAGGTCACATTCCCGGGTCAGACTCCCAGGTGAGATTCCCAGGTAAGATTCCCATGTCAGATTCCCAGGTCAGATTCCCAGGTCAGATTCCCACGTCAGATTCCAAGTCAGATTCCCGGGTCAGATTCCCAGGTCAGATTCCCGGGTCAGATTCCCATGTCAGATTCCCAGGTCAGATTCCCAGGTCAGATTCCCAGGTCAGATTCCCATGTCTTATTCCCTAGTTGGACTCCCAAGTCAGATCCCCAGGTCAGTTTCCCAAGTCATAATCTCGAGTCAGATCCCCAGGTTAGATTCCTATGTCACATTCCCATGTCAGATTCCCAGAATTCCAAGTCAGATTCCAGTCAGATTGCCGAGTCATATTCCCCAGTCAGATTCTCAACTCAGATCCCCAGGTCAGATTCCCAGGTCACATTCCAAGTCAGATACCAGTCAGACTCCCAAGTCTTATTCCCAAGTCAGATTCCCAAGTCAGATCCCCAGGTTAGATTCCCGAGTCATAATCTCGAGTCAGATCCCCAGGTCAGATTCCCATGTCAGATTCCCAGGTCACATTCCCAGGTCAGATTCCCACGTCAGATTCCAAGTCAGATTCCCAAGTCAGATTCCCAATTCTTATTCCCAAGTCATAATCTCGAGTCAGATCCCCAGGTCAGATTCCCATGTCACATTCCCATGTCACATTCCCAGGTCAGAGTCCCAGGTCAGATTCCCAGGTCAGATTCCCACGTCAGATTCCAAGTCAAATTCCAGTCTGATTCCAAGTCAGATTCCAGTCAGATTCCCAAGTCGTTCCCAAGTCAGATTCCCAAGTCATATCCCCAGATTAGATTCCCAAGTCATAATCTCGAGTCAGATCCCCAGGTCAGATTCCCAGGTCAGATTTCCAGGTCAGATTCCCATGTCAGATTCCCAGGTCAGATTCCCAGGTCAGATTCCCAGGTCAGATTCGCAGGTCAGACTCCCATGTCAGATTCCTAGTCAGATTCCCAAGTCAGATTCCCAATTCTTATTCCCAAGTCATAATCTCGAGTCAGATCCCCAGGGCAGATTCCCATGTCACATTCCCAGGTCAGAGTCCCAGGTCAGATTCCCAGGTCAGATTCCCACGTCAGATTCCTAGGTCAGATTCCAAGTCAGATTCCCAATTCTTATTCCCAAGTCAGAATCTCGAGTCAGATCACCAGGTCAGATTCCCAGGTCAGATTCCCATGTCAGATTCCCAGGTCAGAGTTTCAGGTCAGATTCCCAGGTCAGATTCCCACGTCAGATTCCAAGTCAGATTCCAGTCAGATTCCCATGTCTTCTTCCCTAGTTGGACTCCCTAGTCAGATCCCCAGGTCAGTTGACCAAGTCATAATCTCGAGTCAGATCCAAAGGTTAGATTCCTATGTCACATTCCCATGTCAGATTCCCAGGATTCCAAGTCAGATTCCAGTCAGATTGCCGAGTCATATTCCCCAGTCAGATTCTCAACTCAGATCCCCAGGTCAGATTCCCAGGTCACATTCCAAGTCTGATACCAATCATACTCCCAAGTCTTATTCCCAAGTCAGATTCCCAAGTCAGATCCCCAGGTTAGATTTCCGAGTCATAATCTCGAGTCAGATCCCCAGGTCAGATTCCCAGGTCAGATTCCCATGTCACATTCCCATGTGAGATTCCAAGGTCAGATTTCCAAGTCAGATCCCCAGGTCAGATTCCCAAGTCAGAATCTCGAGTCAGATCCCCAGGTCAGATTCCCAGGTCAGATTCGCATGTCACATTCCCAGGTCAGATTTCCAGCTCAGATTCGAAGTCACATTCCAGTCTGATTCCCAAGTCCTATTCCCAAGTCAGATCCCCAAGTCATAATCTCGAGGCAGATCACCAGGCCAGATTCCCAGGTCAGATTCCCAGGTAAGATGCCCGGGTGAGATTCCCAGGTCAGATTCCAAGTCAGATTCCAGTCAGATTCCCACGTCGTATACCCAAGTCAGATTCCAGTCAGATTCCCAAGTCATATACCCATGTCATATCCCCAGATTAGATTCACATGTCCTAATCTCGAGTCAGATCCCCAGGTCAGATTCCCAGGTCAGATTCCCATGTCAGATTCCCAGGTCAGATTCCCAGGTCAGATTGCCACGTCAGATTCCAAGTCAGATTCCTAGGTCAGATTCCCAATTCTTATTCCCAAGTCATAATCTCGAGTCAGATCCCCAGGTCAGATTCCCAAGTCACATTCCCAGGTCAGAGTACCAGGTCAGATTCCCAGGTCAGATTCCAGTCAGATTCCCAATTCAGATCTCCAGGTCAGATTCCCAAGTCACAATCTCGAGTCAGATTCGCAGGTCACATTCCCAGGTCACTTTCCCAGGTCACATTCCCAGGACAGATTCCAGGTCAGATTACCAGGTCAGATTCCCAGGTCAGATTCTCAGGTCAGATTCCGAGGTCAGATTCACAGGTCAGATTCCCAGGTTAGATTCCAAGTCAGATTCCCAAGTCTTATTCCCAAGACAGATTCGCAAGTCAGTTCCCCAGGTCAGTCAGTTCCCAAGTCATAATCTCGAGTCACATCCCCAGGTCAGATTCCCAGGTCAGATTCCGAGGTCACATTTTCAAGTCAGATTCCCAGGTCAGATTCCCAGGTCACATTCCCAGGTCAGACTCCCAGGTCAGATTCCCAGGTCAGATTCTCAGGTCAGATTCCCAGGTCGGATTCCGAGTCAGTTTCCCAAGTCAGATCCCCATGTCCCATTCCCATGTCAGATTCCCAGGTCAGATTCCCAAGTCAGATTCCCAGGTGAGATTCCAGATCAGATTCCCAGGTCAGATTCCCAGGTCGGATTCCGAGTCAGTTTCCCAAGTCTGATCCCTTGGTCCGATTCTCATGTCAGATTCCCAGCTCAGATTCCCATGTCAGATTCCCAGGTCAGATTCCCAGGTCCGATTCCCAGGTCAGATTCCCAGGTCAGATTCCAAGTCAGATTCCCAAGGCTTATTCCCAAGTCAGATTCCCAAGTCAAATCCCCAGGTCAGATTCCCAAGTCATAATCTCGAGTCAGATCCCCAGGTCAGATTCCCAGGTCAGATTCCCATGTCACATTACCAGGTCAGATTCCCAGGTCAGATTCCCAGGTAGACATGGGCACAAGCCGAGCCACATCTGGCTCGGCTCGGCTCGGCTCGCCAAAATGACGAGCTGAGCCTTTCTTTTCGGGATCTGGCTCGACTGGGCTCGTACACAATGTCCTCGTCGAGCCGGGGTCGAGCCGGGTCGTCCCCGGCTGGATTTCGAGCCAGGTGGCTCGCCACTCGATTTCAAGGGTAAATTTCCCCTTCGACAAAAACGTGTCTCCCGTTTCTCTCTCCCGCCAACAACTCCTAGTCTATGTTCCCGAAATCGCTCTAGCGGTGCAGCGTTTATCGTTTAAACGCTGCGTTTAAAGGGTAAAGGCTAAACGCTCGCCCAAAAAAACTTGACGCGGAATCCTTTCCTACGACATTGCGACCTCGAGAATTCAACCAGTCGCAACCCCAAACTTTGACAACCAAGAACACATCCAACCCTTTTGCCCCGCTCAACCGCACTGCACACTACTGCATCTACAACTTCCAACCTAACCTCTTGCACCCTCCTTCCTCCTCACAATCCACTTCCCGTCAATTTCGCGAACCCTAGAATTCAGCGGGCCTAGGAGTATCTCATTAGGTTAGTTCGCGCGAGAAATCTTAAGCAGCCCGCGCCACTCTTAACAACACGCGCTTGCATAGGCTCCACCCACACTACTGTTGGCTTAAGCGCATGCTAGGCGAGTCGAGCCGAGCCGGCTCGCCGTCGAGCCAGCCCTGGCTCTCACAGAAATGCGAGCCGAGCCAGGCATGTTTGGTGCCCGGCTCGACTCGAGCCGAGCCAGGCTCGACGGCGAGCCGGCTCGGCTCGACCCCTGGACGAGCCGAGCCGAGCCAGGCTCGGCTCATGCCCATGTCTATTCCCAGGTCAGATTCCAAGTCAGATTCCAGACAGATTCCCAAGTCATATTCCCCAGTCAGATTCTCAAGTCGGATCCCCAGGTCAGATTCCCAGGTCACATTCGCAGGTCAGATTCCCAGGTCAGATTCCCAGGTCAGATTCCAAGTCAGATACCAGACAGATTCCCAAGTCATATTCCCAAGTCAGATTCCCAAGTCAGATCTCCAGGTTAGATTCCCAAGTCATAATCTCGAGCCAGATCCCCAGGTCAGATTCCCAGGTCAGATTCCCATGTCAGATTCCCAGGTCAGATCCCCAGGTCAGATTCCCAAGTCACATTTCCTGGTCAGATTCCGATGTCTGATTCCTATGTCAGATTCCTAGTCAGATTGCCAAGTCAGATTCACAGGTCAGATTCCCAGGTCAGATTCACAGGTCAGATTCCCAAGTAATAATCTTGAGTCAGATCCCCAGGTCACATTCCCAGGTCAGATTCCCAAGTCAAATTCTCAGGTAAGATTCCCAGGTAAGATTCCCAAGTCAGATTCCCAAGTCAGATTCCCATGTCAGATTCCCATGTCACATTCCTAGTCAGATTCCCAGGTCAGATTCATATGTCAGATTCCCAGATCAGATTCCCAGGTCAGATTGCCATGTCAGATTCGAAGTCAGATTCCCAAGTCAGATCCCCAGGTCAGATTCCCAAGCAATATTCCTGAGTCAGATCCCCAGGTCAGATTCCCAGATCAGATTCACATGTTACATTCCCAGGTCAGATTCCTAGGTTAGATTCCCAAGTCAGATTCCCTGGTGAGATTCCCAGGTCACTTTCCCTGGTCATATTCGCAGGTCAGACTCCCGGGTCAGATTCCCAGGTCAGATTCCCAGGTCGGATTCCAAGTAAGTTTCCGAAGTCAGATCCCCAGGTCAAATCCCAAGTCATAATCTTGAGTCAGATCCCCAGATCAAATTCCCAGGTCAGATTCCAAGTCAGATTCCAGTCAGATTCCCAAGTCAGATTCCCAAGCCAGATTCCCAAGTCAGAATCCCAAGTCAGATTCCCAGGTCAGATTCCTAGGTCACATTCCCAGGTCAGACTCCCTGGTCAGATTCCTAGGTCCGCTTCCCATGTCAGATTCCCATGTCACATTCCCAGGTCAGATTCCCAGGTCACTTCCTAGGTCACATCCCCAGGTCAGATTCCCAGGTCATTTTCCCAGGTCACATTCCCAGGTCACATTCCCAGGTCAGATTCCCAGGTCAGATTCCCAGGTCACTTTCCCAGGTCACATTCCCAAGTCAGATCCCCAAGTCAGATTCCCAGGTCAGATTCCACGTCAGATTCCCAAGTCAGATCCCCAGGTCAGATTCCCGTGTCACATTCCCAGGTCACATTCCCAGGTCAGATTCCCAGGTCAGATTCCCATGTCACATTCCCAGGTCAGATTCCCAGGTCAGATTACCTGGTCAGATTCCCAGGTCAGATTCCTAGGTCAGATTCCAAGTCAGATTCCAGTCAGATTCCCAAGGCAGATCTCCAGGTCAGATTCCCAAGTCACAATCTCGAGTCAGATTCGCAGGTCACATTCCCAGGTCACTTTCCCAGGTCACATTCCCACGTCAGATTCCAGGTCAGATTCCCAGGTCAGATTCCGAGGTCAGATTCTCAGGTCAGATTCCAGTCAGATTCCCAAGTCTTATTCCCAAGACAGATTCACAAGTCAGTTCCCCAGGTCAGTCAGTTCCCAAGTCATAATCTCGAGTCAGATCCCCAGGGCAGATTCCCATGTCACATTCCCATGTCACATTTGCAGGTCAGATTCCCAGGTCAGATGCCCGGGTCAGATTCCGAGGTCAGATTCCACTCAGATTCCCAAGTCGTATTCCCAAGTCAGATTCCCAAGTCATCTCCCTAGGTTAGATTCCCAGGTCAGATTCCCAGGTCAGATTCCCATGTCAGATTCCCAGGTCAGATTCCCAGGTCAGATTCCGAGGTCAGATTCTTAGGTCAGATTCCGAGTCAGATTCCCAAGTCAGATTCCCAAGTCTTATTCCCAAGTCATAATCTCGAGTCAGATCCCCAGGTCAGATTCCCATGTCACATTCCCATGTCACATTCCCAGGTCAGATTCCCAGGTCAGATTCCCAGGTCAGATTCCAAGTCAATTTCCAGTCAGCTTTCCAAGTCAGATCCCCAGGTCAGATTCCCAAGTCATAATCTCGAGTCAGATCCCCAGGTCAGATTCCCAGGTCACATTCCCATGTCAGATTCCCAGGTCAGATTCCCAGGTCAGATTCCCAGGTCAGATTCGAAGTCCGATTCCCAAGCCCGATTTCCAAGTCAGGTCCCCAGGTCAGTTCCCAAGTCATTATCGCGAGTCAGATCCCCAAGCCAGGTCAGATTGCCAGGTCAGATTCCCAGGTCAGACTCCCAGGTCAGATTCCCAAGTCAGATTCCCAGGTCAGATTCCCAGGTCAGATTCCGAGGTCAGATTCTTAGGTCAGATTCCGAGTCAGATTCCCAAGTCAGATTCCCAAGTCTTATTCCCAAGTCATAATCTTGAGTCAGATCCCCAGGTCAGATTCCCAGATCAGATTCCCATGTTACATTCCCAGGTCAGATTCCTAGGTCAGATTCCCAGGTCAGATCCCAAGGTTAGATTCCAAGTCAGATTCCAGTCAGATTCCCAAGGCAGATCTCCAGGTCAGATTCCCAAGTCATAATCTCGAGTCAGATCCCCAGGTCAGATTCCCAGGTCAGATTCGCATGTCACATTCCCAGGTCAGATTCCCAGGTCAGATTCCCAGGTCAGATTCGAAGTCACATTCCAGTCTGATTCCCAAGTCCTATTCCCATGTCAGATCCCCAAGTCATAATCTCGAGTCAGATCCCCAAGTCAGATTCCCAGGTCAGATTCCCATGTCAGATTCCCAAGTCAGATTCCCAATTCTTATTCCCAAGTCATAATCTCGTGTCAGATCCCCAGGTCAGATTCCCATGTCACATTCCCAGGTCAGAGTCCCAGGTCAGATTCCCAGGTCAGATTCCCACGTCAGATTCCAAGTCAGATTCCAGTCAGATTCCCAAGTCTTTTTCCCTAGTCAGACTCCCCAGGTCAGTTTCCCAGGTAAGATTCCCATGTCACATTCCCAGGTCAGATTCCCAGGTCAGATTCCCAGGTCAGATTTGTAGTCAGATTCCAGTCTGATTCCCAAGTCCTATTCCCAAGTCAGATCCCCAAGTCATAATTTCGAGTCAGATCACCAGGTCAGATTCCCAGGTCCGATTCCCATGTCACATTTGCAGGTCAGATTCCCAGGTTAGATTCCAGTCAGATTCCCAAGTCAGATTCCCAAATCAGAGTCCCAAGTCATCTCCCCAGGTTAGATTCCCAAGTCATAATCTCGAGTCAGATCCCCAGGTCAGATTGCCAGGTCAGATTCCCATGTCAGATTCCCAGGTCAGATTCCCAGGTCAAATTCCAAGGTCAGATTCCAAGTCCGATTCCCAGGTCAGGTCCCCAGGTCAGTTCCCAAGTCATTATCTCGAGTCAGATCCCCTAGCCAGGTCAGATTGCCAGGTCAGATTCCCAGGTCAGACTCCCAGGTCAGATTCGCATGTCACATTCCATGGTCAGATTCCCAGGTCAGATTCCCAGGTCTGATTCCCAGGTCAGATTCGAAGTCACATTCCAGTCTGATTCCCAAGTCCTATTCCCATGTCAGATCCCCAAGTCATAATCTCGAGTCAGATCCCCAGGTCAGATTCCCATGTCAGATTCCCAGGTCAGATTCCCATGTCAGATTCCCATGTCAGATTCCCAGGTCAGATTCTCAGGTCAGATTCCCTGGTCAGATTCCCAGGTCAGATTCCGAGTCAGATTCCCAAGTCAGATTCCCAATTCTTGTTCCCAAGTCATAAAATCGTGTCTGATCCCCAGGTCAGATTCCCATGTCACATTCCCAGGTCAGAGTCCCAGGTCAGATTCCCACGTCAGATTCCAAGTCAGATTCCAGTCAGATTCCCAAGTCTTTTTCCCTAGTCGGACTCCCAGGTCAGATCTCCCAGGTCAGATCTCCCAAGTCATAATCTCGAGTCAGATCCCCAGGTTAGATTCCTATGTCACATTCCCATGTCAGATTCCCAGGATTCCAAGTCAGATTCCAGTCAGATTCCCAAGTCAGATTCCCAAGTCTTATTCCCAAGTCTTATTCCCAAGTCATAATCTCGAGTCAGATCCCCAGGGCAGATTCCCATGTCACATTCCCATGTCACATTCCCAGGTCAGATTCCAAGGTCAGATTCCAAGTCAATTTCCAGTCAGATTTCCAAGTCAGATCCCCAGGTCCGATTCCCAAGTCATAATCTCGAGTCAGATCCCCTGGTCAGATTCCCAGGTCAGATTCGCATGTCACATTCCCTGGTCAGATTCCCAGGTCAGATTCCCAGGTCTGATTCCCAGGTCAGATTCGAAGTCACATTCCAGTCTGATTCCCAAGTCCTATACCCAAGTCACAATCTCGAGTCAGATCACCAGGTTAGATTCTCAGGTCAGATTCCCATGTCACCAGGTTCGATTCCCATGTCATAATCTCCAGTCAGATTCCCAGGTCACATTCCCAGGTCAGATTCCCAGGTCATATTCCCAGGTCAGATTCGGAGTCAGATTCCAGTTTGATTCCCAAGTCCTATTCCCTAGTCAGATCCCCAAGTCGTAATCTCGAGTCAGATCACCAGGTCAGATTCCCAGGTCAGATTCCCATGTCACATTTGCAGGTCAGATTCCCAGGTTAGATTCCAGTCAGATTCCCAAGTCGTATTCCCAAGTCAGAGTCCCAAGTCATCTCCCCAGGTTAGATTCCCAAGTCATAATCTCGAGTCAGATCCCCAGGTCATATTTTCCAAGTCAGATTCCCATGTCAGATTCCCAGGTCAGATTCCCAGGTCAGATTCCCAGGTCAGATTCCCAGGTCAGTTCCCAGGTCAGATTCCGAGTCAGATTCCCAAGTCAGATTCCCAAGTCTTATTCCCAAGTCATAATCTCGAGTCAGATCCCCAGGTCAGATTCCCACGTCACATTCCCATGTCACATTCCCAGGTCAGATTCCCAGGTCAGATTCCAAGGTCAGATTCCAAGTCCGATTCCCAGGTCAGGTCCCCAGGTCAGTTCCCAAGTCATTATCTCGAGTCAGATCCCCTAGCCAGGTCAGATTGCCAAGTCAGATCTCAAGTCAGATTTCCAAGTCAGATCCCCAGGTCAGATTCCCAAGTCATAATCTCTAGTCAGATCCCCAGGTCAGATTCCCAGGTGAGATTCGCATGTCACATTCCCAGGTCAGATTCCCAGGTCAGATTCCGAGTCAGATTCCCAAGTCAGATTCCCAAGTCTTATTCCCAAGTCATAATCTTAAGTCAGATCCCCAGGTCAGATTCCCAGGTCAGATTCGCATGTCACATTCCATGGTCAGATTCCCAGGTCAGATTCCCAGGTCAGATTCCCAGGTCTGATTCCCAGGTCAGATTCGAAGTCACATTCCAGTCTGATTCCCAAGTCCTATTCCCATGTCAGATCCCCAAGTCATAATCTCGAGTCAGATCCCCAAGTCAGATTCCCAGGTCAGATTCCCATGTCAGATTCCCAGGTCAGATTCTCAGGTCAGATTCCCTGGTCAGATTCCCAGGTCAGATTCCGAGTCAGATTCCCAAGTCAGATTCCCAATTCTTATTCCCAAGTCATAAAATCGTGTCTGATCCCCAGGTCAGATTCCCATGTCACATTCCCAGGTCAGAGTCCCAGGTCAGATTCCCAGGTCAGATTCCAAGTCAGATTCCAGTCAGATTCCCAAGTCTGATTCCCTAGTCAGACTCCCCAGGTCAGATTCCCCGGTAAGATTCCCATGTCACATTCCCAGATCAGATTCCCAGGTCAGATTCGGAGTCAGATTCCAGTCTGATTCCCAAGTCCTATTCCCTAGTCAGATCCCCAAGTCATAATTTCGAGTCAGATCACCAGGTCAGATTCCCAGGTCCGATTCCCATGTCACATTTGCAGGTCAGATTCCCAGGTTAGATTCCAGTCAGATTCCCGAGGCGTATTCCCAAGTCAGAGTCCCAAGTCATCTCCCCAGGTAAGATTCCCAAGTCATAATCTCGAGCCAGATCCCCAGGTCAGATTGCCAGGTCAGATTCCCATGTCAGATTCCCAGGTCAGATTCCGAGTCAGATTCCCAAGTCAGATTCCCAAGTCTTATTCCCAAGTCATAATCCCGAGTCAGATCCCCAAGTCAGATTCCCGTGTCAGATTCGGAGTCAGATTCCACTGTGATTCCCAAGTCCTATTCCCAAGTCAGATCCCCAAGTCATAATTTCGAGTCAGATCACCAGGTCAGATTCCCAGGTCCGATTCCCATGTCACATTTGCAGGTCAGATTCCCAGGTTAGATTCCAGTCAGATTCCCAAGTCGTATTCCCAAATCAGAGTCCCAAGTCATCTCCCCAGGTTAGATTCCCAAGTCATAATCTCGAGTCAGATCCCCAGGTCAGATTGCCAGGTCAGATGCCCATGTCAGATTCCCAGGTCAGATTCCCAGGTCAAATTCCAAGGTCAGATTCCAAGTCCGATTCCCAGGTCAGGTCCCCAGGTCAGTTCCCAAGTCATTATCTCGAGTCAGATCCCCTAGCCAGGTCAGATTGCCAGGTCAGATTCCCAGGTCAGACTCCCAGGTCAGATTCCCAAGTCAGATCCCCAGGTCAGATTCCCAGATCAGATTCCCTGGTGAGATTCCCAGGTCACTTTCCCTGGTCATATTCGCAGGTCAGACTCCCAGGTCAGATTCCCAGGTCAGATTCCCAGGTCGGATTCCAAGTAAGTTTCCGAAGTCAGATCCCCAGGTCAAATCCCAAGTCATAATCTTGAGTCAGATCCCCAGATCAAATTCCCAGGTCAGATTCCAAGTCAGATTCCAGTCAGATTCCCAAGTCACATTCCCAAGCCAGATTCCCAAGTCAGAATCCCATGTCAGATTCCCAGGTCAGATTCCTAGGTCACATTCCCAGGTCAGACTCCCTGGTCAGATTCCTAGGTCCGCTTCCCATGTCAGATTCCCATGTCACATTCCCAGGTCAAATTCCCAGGTCACTTTCCCAGGTCACATTCCCACGTCAGATTCCAGGTTAGATTCCCAGGTCAGATTCCCAGGTCAGATTCTCAGGTCAGATTCCAGTCAGATTCCCAAGTCTTATTCCCAAGACAGATTCGCAAGTCAGTTCCCCAGGTCAGTCAGTTCCCAAGGCATAATCTCGCGTCACATCCCCAGGTCAGATTCCCATGTCACATTCCCAGGTCACATTCCCAAGTCAGATTCCCAGGTCAGATTCCCAGGTCAGATTCCCAGGTCACTTTGCCAGGTCAGATTCCCAGGTCGGATTCCAAGTCAGATTCCCAAGTCTTATTCCCGAGTCAGATTCCCAAGTCACATCCTCAGGTCAGATTCCCAAGTCATATTCTCTAGTCAGATCCCCAGGTCAGATTCCCATGTCACATTCCCAGGTCAGATTCCCAGGTCAGATTCCCAGGTCAGATTCCAAGTTAGATTCCAGTCAGATTTCCAAGTTCGATTCCCAAGTCAGATCCCCAAGTCAGATGCCCAAGTCATAATCTCGAGTCAAATCACCAGGTCAGATTCCCGCGTCAGATTCCCAGGTCACATTCCCAGGTCAGATACCCAGGTCAGAGACTCCCATGTCAGATTCCCAGGTCAGATTCCCATTTCACTTTGCCAGGTCAGATTCCCAGGTCGGATTCCAAGTCAGATTCCAGTCAGATTCCCAAGTCTTATTCCCGAGTCAGATTCCCAAGTCACATCCTCAGGTCAGATTCCCAAGTCATATTCTCTAGTCAGATCCCCAGGTCAGATTCCCATGTCACATTCCCATGTCACATTCCCAGGTCAGATTCCAAGTCAGATTCCAGTCAGATCCCCAAGTCAGATCCCCAAGTCAGATCCCCAAGTCAGATCCCCAAGTCATAATCTCGAGTCAAATCACCAGGTCAGATTCCAGCGTCAGATTCCCAGGTCACATTCCCAGGTCAGATACCCAGGTCAGAGACTCCCATGTCAGATTCCAAGTCAGATTCCCAAGTCAGATCCAAGCAGCACAGAGACGACAGGGATCAGAGAGAGTGACAGTGAAGGGAGTGTGGAGGGTGCGAGTGTGGTTAAAGCAGAGGGCGCAGTAGCTGACGTGGAGGAGGGGGTGATGGACGCAGGAGGGGCAGTGTTCTTTGTCCCGCAGCGGCCGTACGTGGTGCTGGGCTCTTCCCTCTACCCCAAAGTCTCATTTCTCGTTCCCTCTCACCGCCCTTCTCCCCTCCCCCCCCCCCCCCCCCCCCACACTGACGTGCCCGCCTTCCCTTCCCCGTCAATTCCATTCAGCCGAATGCCCCCCCTTCCGGTCTCCATTCGCCGAATGGAGAGAATAGGGGAGTGACTTACCTCACCAGAAATCATTGTTGGTGGTGGCCATGATAGCCAGGATGGTGGTGGCAGGGGTGAGGCGAGAGTGGTGCTGGGGAGTGGGGATTGGTGCAGCTGGAGCAGGAAGGAGTAGGGTGGTGGTGGCACGTGCCACAGGTAGCATGTGGACTATAGAGAGAATAGGCGACTGATTTATAGGTGCCACACCTACGATGGCTGGTGATGCGCATCGTAGCGGGGATGGTAGTGGTAGTGAGGAGGAGAGGTTGATGGTATTGGTTGGAGATGAGAATGCTGAGGTGGGAAGGAGAAGGGTGGTGCGGTGGGTGGTACGTGCAACGGGTGTGTGGAACCCAAAGAAGATAGGCGAGTAACAGTATACTGTACTTGGTGGGAGGAGGTAGACTCATTTGCGATTCATTATTGGAGGCTGGTTCTGAATGATGCCGAAAGCAATGGTGATGGTGTTGATGAATCTGAATGTGTCATTGCCATAGATAGATGGGGTTCAGAAATAATATGCTCTTACAAAATTACGGACACTATTTCCCTGTAACTCTCCTCATAACGGGTACGCAATCCGCCTGAAACCTGTTCCGAATTCCCTTGGTGCGTCTAGGAGACCTGCGGCTCGATAAGTGAGTGGAGTGGAGCACACCTGAAATAACCACCCACGAGCAAACAACGCGGCACGGAAGCACCAGCCCCATCAGGTGAGGTCAGGTCACTCGCTCGCCCTGCAACTCGCAGCAGCAGGCAGGGCCCAAGCCAGACTCATCCTTCCCCTTACCTCCCGCATAAAACCACTCCCTCGGCTATTCCTCTCTCACAGCAAGCAAGTGGCTTTCCCAGCGCACAAAAGTCAGATCAGAAACCAGTCAGATTTCCAGTGACGATCTCCATACAGCTTGAGTGTATATAGCAGCTTCGTTCTCGATACCCGTCCCTCCCAGCGCGTGAGAATGGCCAGAGCCGCGCTTCTCGCGCTCTCCCTGGCGCTGCTCGTCGCCGTCGCGCGCGCCGGCAGCCCCATCACGAGCTCGTCCGCCAACGAGAAGCCCGACCTGAGCAGCCAAGAAGGACGACGGGCTCATGACCGAAATCCCCGCCGCGATCGCGAAGGCTGCTGCGTCAGGCGACGCGGCCGGTGTTACCTACGTCGATACCGCTCAGGATACGTTTTTCATGGCTGACGTGAAGAAAGCGGGGTGGAACGCGCAAAAGTGCCCGCCCGGTTTGAACAAGGAGCTGGCGGGAGCGTGCACGCCCAAGAACTGCTCCAAGGGCGGAATCGCCGCCAAGTGGAAGACCGCCTACCTGCAGAAGAACAAGCTCGGTTACGAGCTGTACGTGCCGGGTAACCCGCTGACGCTGCTCAAGGCGAACCCCGCGTCGTGCTGCAACACGTGCGCCTCGACGCCCCTGTGCACGTACTGGCAGTACATCCCGATATCACGATTGACGGAAAGAAGGGCAAGGGCGCGTGCTACCTGATTCACGACCAGATTGACTTCACG